TTACATTTAAATGTAATCTTTTTATTTATCAGCACATTAATGAAATTAATTTATTTTCTTTTTTGACATTTTCATTTAATATTTTTGCACAAGTGAGAAATTACTGGATATAAATTGGACCATTTTTCAGATTATTCTCAGCTCATTGATCTTTGCTCTGAACAGTTTTACGTCTGAATCGTTTAGAGTTTTAACTGGAAAATAAAGCAGAAATTTCACTAAAACCATCAGCTTCATCAAAGCTRAATGGGCTGAACGCTTTCTGAAACTCTCCTGCTGTTTGTTCGTTTTGGTCATTTCTCAGAGAGCTTGTGCTTCTGTAATTGGAAGTATTTGCTAATTTTGTGGCTCTTTAACTTTAAAGGACCCTGGTTCTTTTTGTGTTTACCTCCTGACCGTGTTTTATGTCATCGAGTTACAACAAACCAAACCGACACACAGAAACCTCGAGCCAAAGAGCAGCAGCTGGATTAGAGGAGTGGCTGCTTTTGTTTATTTTTATTTTTGTCTTTTTTAAGCCTCAATTTGAGTTCCAGACTCAAATCTGCCCAGATTTACTGCATCAAAACAGGAAACATGTTGAGATTTTCTATAACGTTGTGACATTTCAGGATAAAAACTTGAAAGTATTTCTGATTTAGTTTGTAACGTGGGCTCAAGCAGAGARGAATGAGTCTCAGATGAGGCAGTGAGGTCATCAGTTTCACTGAGTGCTCCTTCCCCACAGTAGGTTTGGGACTAAATGTGCCCAGTGCGGCCGGCAGGTGTACGCCAGCGACTGGGTGAGGCGGGCRCGGGGCAGCGTGTACCACCTGGCCTGCTTCGCCTGCTACTCCTGCAAGAGGCAGCTGTCCACCGGGGAGGAGTTCGGCCTGGTGGAGGGCCGGGTGCTCTGCCGGAGCCACTACAACATCATGCTGGACAACCTGCGCAGGGCTGCAGAGAACGGTAACTCAAACACTGAGCAGGAGAAAATGAGACACACTGATTTATCATCAGCTTTATTTCATTAAAATGCCTTCAAATTTTAACTGCAGCTCATCAGAGTCTGCTAATAGAATGCATCATTTGCTGCTTAATACTGCACTTTTTGTTGATGCGCTCCACAGTCTGTTGACCTAACGCACAAGAGAGATTTCATATTAAACATTGGAAAAACAATTAAGGAAAAACACAGAATTCCAGAGATTTTCCATTCTTGTTGGAAAAACACACAAACATGGACYTCTGAGCCAATTCCTCTGTTTTTTTTTCTAACTGAAACAATTTTCTTTCCACAAAATTCCTGACTCTGAGATCACATTTCAACCGGGCTCACTGTCGAACCCAGGGGTTCCCAAAGTTGGGGTCGAGACCCCACGMTTGGTCCTGAAACAACGAGGTGGGGTCTTGAAAAGATTTTCAGAATCAGTTCAAAAATGATTGTTTTTTTTGTCTTAACTGTTATAAAATAGTGAAGTATAATTAGACATAATAAATCTTGTTGTGTACATTTATATTTGACTTGATGCCAACATTTKTAATCCAAAAACAGTTGGGGGTGCAGGTGTTATGTTGTGAGTCAGAAACTGAAAAGTTGAGCCTCAGAACAAATTTCTCTTGGACTCTTTGTTGCAGTGAGATGTTATTATTCACACTTATAGGAGCGTTATTATGGCATTAATTTAAAGGGGTTTACTATGTGTAGCAGTAAGAAAATCATATTGCTTTTATGTTTTTTATTTGACTCAGCTGTGTTTCTATAATTAGGGGAAATGGTTTTTCACAGTTTGAACATTTCAAACATTTGGTTTCTTTGGCCTGAGAAATTTCACTTGTTATGTTTTAGATTGTCTTTATTTTGTTGTTGTTGTTGTTGAATGATTCCTCGGTGGATTCTGTGTGTGCTCAGGTACAGGACTGACTCTGGAGGGAGCGCTGCCCTCCGATCAGGACTGCCAACCAAAACCAGCCAAGAGGGCGAGGACGTCGTTCACCGCCGAGCAGCTGCAGGTGTGTGTGTGTGTGTGTGTGTGTGTGTGTGTGTGTGTGTGTGTGTGTGTGTG